CAATGTGGTTTAAAAGTCTGGAAACCACATGAAAGGTACAAACAACTTAGGGAAGGGGTGAGATGAAGCGAGACACTAAGAGGCATTTGTGCAAGGAGCAAACCTATATTCCTTCCTGGTTCTCCTGCCCAGATGACTGACCCTCCTCCCCCAGTAACAGCTTGTGGTTTTCTTCTCTGCAGATGCAAAGCTGACTCTGCAGCTCTGAGTATCAGGCACAGTGGAGAGCAGGAGGGAGAGACCAAAGGCCCAGAGCATTGGAGGCATAGAGGAGATACTTAACAGTTACTGAACTGACATTCATTATTGATAAATTAATAGTCATGCAGTCGGGTAGAAAGACTTAATGGTTCATTCTTCGTGCCAACTTGGCCAGGCAATATGATGCAGTTATTAATTAAACCATAACCTAAGAGGTCCCTGATGATATTTTGTAGAGGTGGCCGACACCTACACACAGTTCACTTTCTGTAAGCACATTATCCTCCGTACTTTGTGTTGAATCAACTGAAAGCCCAAGAGCAAAATCTGAGGTTTCCAGGAAGAGTCTGCTTGGAGTCAGCAGCCCCAGCTTCTGTCTGAGTTTCCAGCTGCTGCCTGCCCTGCTGACTTCAGACTTAACAGCCCTGTCATTGCATAAGCCAATTCCTTAAAATGAATGTGGGGTGTGTGTGTGTGTGTGTGTGTGTGTGTGTCTGTGTGTTTTGTATTCTCTGGAGAACTGTGACCATACAGAGATATTTGGCTTTTTCCAAGTTGCATTCAGAGCTCAAGTCCCCCAGCCAAGCAATGAAGAAATGCTTTCCTTGGGAACCTGACTGGCTCAAGAGGAAATTTCCTATCTGCACACATTGGTATCAAAAATTCCCAGTTACAAAGTTCAGTAGATCACACCCCACATGTACCCCAAGTCCTCAGAGCTCCGATCAGTTTCTTAATCCCCAATCAATCGTTAAATCCAGGGACCACCACTCATCAAAGGGGTCCTCTGATGTGAAAGTCAGAGACCGAACCAGACAGGAGACGACAACATGGAAGAAATGAGACTGGGAGAAGAAAACTTCCAAATACTAGTGTTAGCTTTTTGAGCAAGAGAAGGGAAAATATTTTACCTATGAATGAGAATACAATATTATTTTTCAAAAAGAAACACTCAGGGGACAACAATAAAATAATTCTTGGCTACTGAAATATGACAGCAAAATTTAAGACTTGATAGAAGAATTTGAAGGTAAAGTGAGGAAATGTCCATAAAAGAGCACAAAAAGAAAATATGGAAAAGAGAAGAGAAAAGATAACAGATTAGAGACGTTAAAGGAGCTTAATATCTTAAAAATGAAAATAATATTTAGAAGAGATGAAATCATCCAAGAATTATTTAAAGAGAATTTATGAGAAGAAAAGGGCATTAGTTTCCTGATAGAAGAGTCCACTGAGTGCACAATACTACGAAATTTCACAGGGTGGTGAAAAGTCAGAACATTGGAAACAAAGGGAAAAAATCCTACAAATCTCCTGAAAGAAAAAATAGGTGGCATACAAATGAGTAGGAATCAGGATTCCTCCATAAAGCAACAGCAAAGCCAACAGCAGAAGAATCCGATTCTTCATTACAGTGAAGGTAAAATAAATTTCCAACTTAGAAGTCTATGTCCAGCCAAACTGTCAGCCATGAATCAGTGCAGATCAAAGACATTTCAGAGGAGCAAGTTCTAAAATAATTAACTCCCTACATTCCCTTTCTCAGAAACCTACTGGAAAATGTGCTTTACCAAAACAAGGGGTAAAACCGAAAAACTGAAAACGTAGGATAAAGGAAGATCTCCAGTGCAGAAGGGTGATGACCAGAATGTTCACGATGATGATGAAGGATGGTCCCAGAACTTTTACTGCTCACTTGCTCTAGAGGTGACCATCAGACAAAGCAGGGTAAAGGACCTCAGAGAGATGTCTCCGGGAGAGTGAAACAGAAGCGTCCAAATGTCTTGACAAGAGATTCAGGTAGATAGAAGATAAAAACATGAAAACCAAGCGGAAAAAAAAGAAGCCTATTATGAAGTTCAGTTAAAAGAAAGCTTGTGCGGGAAATTCATAGTTCAGCTGTGAACAATCTTTATTCATAATAATAGAAGCATTGAGCATGGACCCAAACAAAATTGCTATAAAACATTGGGAAGGTACATAAATGTGGCGTGTGTGGGAGCAAGGAGCAGACAGGAGCAAGGAGCAATAAGCAGTCACATCCATCACAGGTAAATCAATAATGACTGACTCTGAAAGGTGGGGGGACCTGGTGATGATCGGGCACAGAGGAACACATTCTCAGAGACACAGGAAAATTCTCAGCTGCTCCTTGGAGGTCAGGTGGTTGCTTCCTCAAGAGGGAAATGAGAGAGACACACGGGCTGGGGATCACTATTTTTTGTAACAGTTGCCATAGAACTACTTGGACTTTTAAACTTGTATGCATATATAATCTGGATGAAAATAAAAACTAGAAAACAAAACAAAAAGGAAAATCCTTAAGATTTAGCCTGGCCTACATCCAAATGATTTCAAATATGTCTAAATAAGAAAAATATTCATGACTCACTGTCATAAAACTATATCACATTGAATAATTCTAGCATGTGACTTTCTTATTAAAGTCTTACAGTTTTGGAGTCATTGGTAGAATTGGAAAATTTAAGGTGCTTCCAAGATTGGAGCTGTCACCTTCCTCAAGACTGGGCTGTTTTCATTCCCTATATTCCAGCGATCATAACACCTGTCTTACCTTAGCGAGTAGACCATCGGCCCCCACCCCCATTTTAGAATGTCTTTCACCTTCCCTTGGTTGATTTGTGAGGTTCACACTACGCTGAGTATCCTGATGACCAACTGGCAGTGCTGACTGAGGGGACCCCCAGCACCAAGGTGAGGAGGAGCTCGTCAACACCGGAGGGCGGGTGTTAACCACTACAGGATGGGAATCCTCACGGGCTGCTGCTAAGAGGCAACAACTGAAGGCAAAATTAGCTTGGCAAATGGATTTATCCTGGTGTTTCCAGCACTTTCTCTGCACACTGTGCAGTGTGCTGTGGGTGGTCCTATGTGGAAGGGAGCTGAAACTAGGAGACAGTAGTACTGGGGAAAATTCTTCTTGTAAGCAATGTAAACTTTGGTTAGAAATGTGCACCCTGAGATTACTGAAAAGCAAGACTTAGTGTCTTTGAAAGATGCTCCTGGTTCTTCTTGTGTTCTATGTTGTTGCTTCCTTATCTGGAAAAATGTTAGAAGCAATCTAATGGTTCTTTTTCCATGGCAACTTGACTGGCCACAAGATGCCCAGATACTTGACTAAACATTAATTCTTTTTTTCTTTTTCTTTGCTAATTATATTCCAGACTCTATTCATACTTGATTGGTTTTTCCACTTAGTTTTTTTCTTGTTTTGAGATCCCATCCATGATGTCGCGCTACATTTAACATATATAGATTTTTGAACAGAATGACTAAGCCTTGGAGTTTATACATAGTTTTACTTTAAGAAATTAAATTTCCTTAAACATAAGGAAGGGGATTGCACATAAAACAGTTTGTTGAAACATTAAAGTTTCTTCATGTATGACAAATGAAATTTAACCAAATAAACTTGCCAGTCTGGTCATTATATATACATACACACAGTCATCTTGACACTCCAAGAAATGATATAAAATTGAGGATTATGATACAGGGAAACTAAATTTTAAATAACTCATCAAGAATTTCCAAGAGACAAACAAGAATATATTGTGTAATTTCTTCTTTGTTTGATATAATAAAATCGTAGAGCAACTCTCTCCAAAGAATACTTATATTTATTTGGGACTACCATTGCAACAAGAATGTGAGTCCTAACAAACTATGGGCATTATCAAAGAGGCTGGGGCAAGGGAAAGTTTTTAGATACAAAAATGAGGATGACATCAGGCACTTTTAAATGATAATCATTGGTCGCAATGACTAATTACAAGGATAGTTATTCAAGGTTGAACGGACAGTTGCTGGGCAGAAGTGCTTTGTGTATAAGGTTGCAGTGGCCTCTGAGCCTCTTGTGGTTCTGATGGCACCTTGTGATAGCTACATCAGACTATCATGCATGAGGAACCTTCCCTCATAACCTCCCAGCTGTGTTTACTGCATTTGGGTTGATAAAAACTACTTCATTGTAATTTTAATAACTTTTATATTTGTTACATAATTGTGTGAAATAGCAATGGCAGAAGTACTTATTACTGGCTTTCAAGTTTTTTTTTTCAATCTGATTTTGTTTTTAATTAAGTATTATGGTCACATACAAATTTGTGCTGATGTTGTACCTTCCCCGCTTTAATCCTGCTAAAGAGCTGACAAAAAGCACCACTGCCAATCACACAAAAAACAGTCCTTTCAATCTTGTGTTTTTAAATAGCTGTTTAAATACTATCCTGAATAATAACTTAGTCCAAAGTAAAGAATTAAAAAATAAAATCTAACTTACTATTGTATCATGCTTTTAAAAGGATCTGAACTTACAGATCAACTATAAAAGGTGAGAAGTGTTAAATATTCTTTATTCAGTATTATACATACACCACACTAAAATGCCTTTCAGTAAGTAAAAAGCACCAGTCTTTAGATACAGGGAATTCTAATTAAATTGGCATAGTCAAGAAAAAAATATATACATGTTCCTTCCTTGTCTTCAACCACTGTCTTTAACAAGCTAATAAGCAAACTGAAACAGGAGTCTTGCTTGGTTGTGAGACTGTGAAGGATTTCCCTGGTATTTAAACATATTCACACAACCAGTTATACGTATGAATCTAAATATAAAACCAGCCTCCAGTAGGTTTTGAGATAACATTCTCCATCTTTGTGAAAAGTCGAACATTACTAATCAAATCCAACCATATTTTTAGAAAGGGAAAACAGTGACAGTATTTACTGAACTGGAATTACCATCAAAACTTGAAAAACAAAGATATCCATTTAACTATAAGCCAATTTTACTTAAATCAGGACTGTCCAACAGAAATATTCTGTCAGCCACTCATGATCTGAATTCTGGTGTATGAGATCTATTAAATTATGGTACACATAAAAAAGCCATGAGACATTTCTGTTCTGTAATAAATAAGGCAGTGACTATTACTCATTAGTAGCTGTTTTGAGGTAAGCTGTTAAGTCTGCCCTTTCTCCCTTCTTCTTAATGCCAGTGAAGATCATTTTTGTTCCAGGGATGTACTTCTTGGGATTCTCCAAGCACTCCATCAATGTATCCTCTCCCCCGGTGTTGCCTTTGTTCTTGCTGGCATCTGTGTAGGAGAATCCAGCAGCTTGACCTGTCTTCCGCCCAAACAGACCATGGAGATTTGGCCCAGTCTTGTGCTTGCCTCCCTTCTCCACAGTGTGGCACTGGGCACACTTCTGACCAAAAATCTTCTTGTCTTTCTCAACATTACCCATTTTTAAATCTGCTGTGGCTTCCACGTCTGAGGCTCAGCACTCTTCCATCGTTACCACAGAGAAAGTCTCAGCTCAGAAGCTCTCTACCTGGCTTTCAAGTTTTATAGATTATATCGTAATATTAAGTATACTTTTTTAGTTGTATTATTTCCTACTCTGCTAGTGCATGTCTGCTCATTCATTTTAAAATATTTTTTCCTTAAATATATTTTTCCCTCAAATTATAGTTGTTGATGTGTTGGAAAATTTTATCTTTCTCAAAAGCATGTGTTGATTAAACAACGTTTCTTGGTATATTTGTGAGGGTGCTTACCGATGAGACTGGCATTAAAACAAATCAGTCAATTCAGTAAAGCAGAGGGTCCTCCCACTGTGGGTAGGCCTCAGCCATCCTCAGAAGCCTGGAGAGAACAAAATGCTAAGGAGGGGTGGGTATCCACCCCTCTGCCTGATGCTTTCTAGCAAGGGCCTCAGTCTTCTGCCCCCATATTGAGGCACCTTCAGCTTTCCTGAATCTCAGGCCTTGAGACATGGGCTGGAGCTCTACCACTGGCTCTCCTGGGTCTCCAGCTTGCAGACAGCAGGCCCTGGGGCTTCTCAGCCTCTGCACTCATGTGAGCTGCCTCTAATTGGCTATTTCTCAGGAGAATCCTGACTACCAGAGCCACCTTTCTTCAAAATAATTCTGAGTTCTTTCTTGAACGTCTATTTATTTTCACATCTAGTACATCCTAGTTTCAGGGAGGTGAGATAGCAGACAGCTAGGGCTGGTAGCTGGTCAGTGGCCCTAGGATGTTCTCAGCTGAATGCCTCTTGGGCTCTGACAGAGATCTCATTCCCTGCACAGCCTGAGTACAGCCAAGGTTCCCAGGAAGCCCAAAGCCAAAGACACTGCCCCCATGCCCAGCTTGGAGTGGCACGGGACAGTGGGTGCTGGTTTTCACAAAGTCAGGAACACATATGCACTCTCACTCCATGTATATGAGACACTGGGACTTCACTGAGATTCTGGATCACACAAGGAGTGGGAAGACAACCAGAGAGCAAGAGCCACAACAGAGCTGTGGAAATATGGAGCCTTCCAATCACTACAGGTCTGAATATCCACAAAGATGGGCTCTTTTGTTGTTTTGTTTTTCTGCTTGTGTTTGAGCATGGCCTCCTCAGAGTCTAATCTAAATATGAGGAGAAAATAAGATTGGACATATTGACAAAATCCTCACATTTAATGTACTTTTTTGAAAGATATAGTTCTCATTCTCTTTAGTTCACATTAAAATTTTACCATCTTGGTTTCAAATTATGAACTCTTATGCCTCACTGACAATCAGGAGATGGCAGAAGGCACAGACATCTCATGTGCACTGGGGCTGGCTTCGAGCCAGATTAGAAGCAGCCAGGACCCCAGTCCTGCCCACAGCCCACTGGCTCACTCACACATGGATGGCTCCTGACCTCCCCCTCCCACTTGGCTTCCCATCAGCTTTGACATCAACACCTGTCCTCCTGGCTGTCCCTGGCCAGCCTGACTGGCTGGGACACAGTGGGCAAGGCCCTACCCATCCTACTGGGGGAATTGTAGATTCACTGCTGTCCATCAGGCCAGGGATTCATGCTGACCTTGACCTTCAGCTCTAAACCAATCACTGCCAGCCACCAAGTTTCCCTCACCTGGAAATCAATTTGCCTTCTGAACTCACCACACACAGAGTCAGATTTATTGACTAAAGCTGTATTTCCTGAGCACTCTTTATGTGACATGCCCTGGGGACCAGTGACCCTCAGGCTCACGAGGGACCCTGCTCCATAAGCAGGCTGCGATACCTTACATGGGCAGGCGGCTGGTGCCTGCCTGGGCACTGGTGAGGTGAGTCATGGATGGTGAGAGCCAGAGCCAGAAAGGTCAAGTGTGCTCCTCACAGGCGAACCAAGAAACAGGACCTGGAGGTCAACACTGCTGATGGGATTCGCTGAGAGCACTCAGCGGTACCCTGGAGAATCAGGGCCAGAAACCAGGTCTCCAGCTGAGGGCCAGGGCCATCCCACCCACCATTCTGCTGCAAGCCACAGGCATTGTGTTCTTGACCAAGCTGGGGCTTGTCAGACTTTTGCTAAGAAAGAAAAAGATACAAATCCTACACCATGGCAAAAAGAAGGAAAGAGAGATGTTTCCAGACAACAGCAAGCCAATCAGTCTTATTTCTAGACTTGGGAAACATGCGCCCAGTTTCAAATCACTGGGCACGTTCTCAAGAAACATGGCTACTTACATCTATTGAAAGCTCCCTCAGAGAGCGTGGTCTGTACTTAGGGTTCTAGTTTATATATTAGGGTCTCATGTTTCCCAGCTTGGAAGACCACAGTAAGCACATCAACATCACAATGCAGCCCTTGGAATTTGTGAATGTCAGATTGAATCCGGCCTTTCCCTCGAACCTGCAGAAATGAAGACCCTGGGGAAAATGATGGCTAGCAAGCATGTGTACCTTAGAGCACTCTGTAACTGCAAAAGTGCTTCTAAATGCTTTGAAGATATTTATTTCCCCCAATACCTCGCCTGTGACAAAATGGCTGTGGATCAGAAAAGTTAGGTTAGGTCATTTCCATATTTGTGTCACAGCCATGAGGATGGCCAGCACTTTGGTAGTTTTCAAGTTTAGATTCATTGCTAAAGGGTACAGGGCCCCTTCCTCAACACAAGCCAGAATGAACTGGTTAACACTGTAACCTGCTACCCTAGGAGGAGCCTAAAAGGAACTCTTTCTCCCTGGTCACTTAGTCCAATGTGAATGTACAAACCACCTGTCCCATTTTACCCTGACACAGCTGCACCCTAAATCCCAGCCTCCTCACATTTGTTCATCTTATCCTATAACACAAAAATAATGCCCATTAGGAGACAAGGGCCTTTTGATTTAACCAGTAAAAAGTTTCATACACAGGAACCATGAGTCTCTCTCTTCAGTCATACAGCTGTAATAGTTGCTGATGGTCTGAGTGTTGCTGGGGCAGGGCCCAGAGAGACTGCAAAGTAAGTGTGTCATCATGTTTCTGAATTTCCCCTATTATACAAAAAGGAGAGAAAGTGCTTCACAGAAAAGGAATGCATCTCTAATTGTGGAATCTCCAGTACCCACAGAAGTGGGGAAGGGGCCAGGATCAGGATCTCACTGGTCTTGGAGGCTCCTGCAGGAGCTCATAGGCTCCCAGAGTGTGCTCGGACGTGGTTCTCCAAGTCCACTGTGCACCAAAACCATTTACTTCAAGGTCTCGGGTGATGCTGCTGCAGCAGCTGGTCTAAGGAGGACCACAGGGCGGGAAGACCTTGGTCAGGTAATGTCCCCTCAGAGGGAAGGGGCACCAGGTTTCCCTATTGTTATGGTGTCATCAGGCACTGGACATGGACTACAGTGTGTGTAGAGTTCCCAGCCCACCCCTATATCTCCTGCATACTTAGCTCTCAGGCAGCTCAGGCTGAGATAACAGAATACCATCTGCTGGGGGCTCAGATAACATTGATTGCTCAGCATTCTGGAAGCTGGAGGTCAAAGACTGGGATGCAGGTAGGGTCTGCTGGTTCTAATGAGCGTCTCCCTGCAGGTTGCAGACTGCTGCCTTCTAGTTATAATTACACATGCTGGAGCCCAGGGATTTAGTTCAGTGGTTTCGCTGCCTGCTGTGCAAGCACAAGGACCCAAGTTCGATCCCCGGTACTGAAAATATATATATATATAATTACACATGGTGGAAAGAGGTGCAGAGAGTGCTCTGAATCATCTTTTATAAGGGCTCCACCTCATGATCTAATAATCCCCAAATACCTCCACATTGAGATTTGATTTCAACATAAGAATTTTGTAGCAACACGAACATTCAGTTTGTAACAACAGTATTCAAAGTAGATAAGGAAAATTATTTGAAGAAAAGGGAGGGAGCTTTTAATGTGAAAAGAGAGGGACGATTAATTGGTTTAGATTTGAAAAAAATTCCTAGGCTTTGAAAGATTCACCCTGAAAATGGATGGTGCCCAGGTGTTCCTGTGGAGAACACCCAGACACCAAGTCTAATCGTTAGGCTCATGTTTCCTAAACAATCATTGAGCTCATCTTGTTTTTTCCAACCACCAAATATATGTAGCGGTTGTTATTAAGGAAAAAGCAGAAAAATATTAAGAACCCAGTATAAAACGAGGTAAGCCAACAGATGTAGAAATGATCAGAAGTTGTGCTTCAAATAAACCAGTTCCACATTTCCCATTTGTCTTGTAACCAGCTCCTTCTTCTGTTCTACAGTGGCACTGGGGTCAAAGAGCCAGAAGAGATGTTTACTTCCCTTCAGCAGGTTCTCCTCTTCCCTTTCTTCCGGCAAGTTCTGGAAGATTTTGTACGCAAACAAAGAACATGAAAAATGGAGTGGAAAGGAATAATAAAGAAATCAAAATAAAAACAAAGAAGGCAGATGGAGGTACCCAGGTTCTCTGAAGGCAATGCAAACAGTGTTCTATAGGGGGAAAAGCCAATGGTCACATCCAAGGATGCCTTTTACTAGGCTTGGTCAAATGAAAATTGGCCAGCCATTGGATGCCATGCCTGGGTCTGATGGCGAGGAGGGCCAGAGGAAACAGACCAGAAGGGCCAGTGAAAGCTTCACCTTCAAGGGCCTCCCAGAGCTCTAGGAGGACGGGGTGGACAGAATAACGGCTCCACAAAGATGTTGCACATCCTAATTCCCAGAAACAAAGATTCTGTTCCCTTACGCAGCTTCTGATTCTTTGCAGATGTGATGGAGTAAAGGATCCTGACATGGAATATTATCCTGGAATATGTGGTGTGGCCAATGCCATTGAAAGACTCTTTTAGGGGGAAAAGGGACCAGGAGAATCAAAGGAGACATGACAACAGAAGCAGAGGTCGGGGAGAGGTGGAAGAGACGAGGATTCTGATTCTGAATATGAGGACAGGGCCATAAGCCCAGGAATGCAGGCAGCTTCTAGAAGCTGGAG